GAGGAAACCACACATTGATGTTTCTCTCCCACTCATTCTTCCTCCCTTCCCCTCTGTCTAAAAAAAATAAATAAAATATTTTTAAATACTTTTAAAAAGAATTGTATTTTAAAAAATAAAATACAGAAGCAAGCAAAGGCTGAAAATATTTTTAATTCTTTGAGTATTTGTTATCTGTTGAAATAAAATACTTTATGAGGTTTTATTTTTATTCTGTATTTTCTCACTATGATCTGTTTGCATTCAACCATATATGAAATTTGAAAATTAGAATTTTTTATGATTTTATTTATTTCTAGAGAGAAGGGAAGGGAGGGAGAAAGAAAGAGAAACATCAGTGTGCCAGAGCAATACCGATCAGTTGCCCCTCGCAATCCCCCAGCCAGAGACCTGGCTCACAACCCAGCCATGTGCCCTAACTGGCGATCGAACCAGTGACCTTTTGGTTTGCAGGACAATACCCAGCCCACTGAGCCACACCAGTCAGAGCTGTGAATTAAATTTTTTTTAAAGTCACCTATCAGATCAGAATGAATGAGCTCTTGAGGGCTATGAAGTTGCATACTGCTCAACAAGGCAAAGTCATTGCTCCTAGGGGTCTCATGGGTTGTTCAAATAACTTCTTCTCATCTCACTACCTCCCAGCTCTTTGCATAGCAAGTCTGGGGTATGGCTAAGCCAAGGACTCTTGCCTTCCTTCTGACAGAGCCTGAGGTAACTGAGGGAGTACTAAGGATTTGTATTGCTTTGCTCAAAAAGGGAGGGAGGGAGGGAGGAAGAAAAGGAGGGGGAAAGAAAGAAGGAAGAAGAGGAAAGGAGGGAAATTGCATACTGTTAATGCTATGAAAACAATCACCTGTAAAAGTTTAGGTTTGGATATACTTTCTATAGGTCAGGAAAATAGAAAATAGGTTTTCTTCCTATAAAAACTGCCATATTTTAAAATTAGGAGTGCAGTAATATTTATAAGAAAGCATAGTCTTTCATTTTTTAAAAAAATGAAAAAAGGTGAAATCATAAATTTTGTATCCCAATATTGAACCACCTTAAAAGATTTTTATTAGAATAGGCTTATAGAACATTCTACTCAGAAACAGGACTGAGGTTTGTAAGGTAAACCTTTAGTCTCTCAGATGCCCTATTATGCACAGAAATGTATAGAAATAATGAAATAGAGAGAGCTAAATGAGGCCTTACAAATCATCTTTTTGTGATGTTGAGAATTGAAAGTGGCCCACCCTGGCATTCTCCTTTCAGTGGAAAACCTGATAAACCTTCCAAAAGGGTGGAGGGTTTAAGGCAGAAATGTATATGAAGATACATTAGGTAAGGCTTCCAGGGTACTGGAGATTTCATTTTAATGGATGGGGCATTCTTCAATTACTATAGTTAATTGTAGACTGCATGAATTTGAAACCCAAGTCTGTAAAACCTTGGGCAGGTTAATCACTCTGTTCCTCAACTTCCTCATCTGTAAAATGCAGATGAAAATAGCACTTCTTAGGATTGTGAGAATGAAATTAATGCTACTTAGAATTTAACATTCAGTAAATGTTAGTTCATATTTGTATATTTAAAAACAAGGAGGAAGCCTTAGCAACTTAATATAACAAATGTTGAAGATACTTAGCAATGTCTATTATCTAGAGGTTTGTATGTTTAATCATTAAAAGTAATAGACATAGTCCTAACTGGTGTGGCACAGTGGGATGGGCATTATATGGCAAACGAAAGGGTCATTGGTTGGATTCCCAGTCAGGGCCTATGCCTTGCAAGTGGTCTAGGTTCCTGGTTGGGAGAGTGTGGGAGACTACCAGTCGATATTTCTCTGGCATATCGATGTTTCTCTCCCTCTCTCTCCCCCTCCCTTCCTATCTCTCTAAAAATAAATAAATAAAAATCTTTAAAAAATAACATACATAGAGTGAATTCTCTTGGGATGTGGAATATTGTGTGGTTTACAATTATTGGTTCTTACTAAAATATGTAGTTTTCCTAAGGAAACACTAAACCAGGTTTTCTGCAACTTTGTGTTAAATGTATTTAAAGAGCCCAATTTATTGGGAGAAAAAGTGCTTCTTGTTAGGTTAGCTGTCATTAATAATGGTAACTAATACACCATTACTCTGTTATCCCAAATTATGTACCTCGATTATGAGACATGAAAAGAGTTAGCTGTGGTAGTCCTCAGAAGAGATGGGAATGTTCATGAAGATTACAATTTTTAAATCATTCATAGAAATAGAGTATACTAAAAGGGAAAAGCTGGGTCGCTTGCCCAATCACTGTAAAACACTATACTCAGTCACTAGAAATACCAACAAGTCAAATCACATGCTTTTAGGCTAGGAATTGCTGGAAAATTATAATGTAGTATATTTAATATAGGGAATGAAACAAACATGCCAAATTTTAAATAATGGCAAAAGATAGAAATACAGGACCATAAGCAAATGCCTGATTAATTAGCTAAGTAATTTACAATAATTAGTGTAGAAAATCAGGAGAGAAAGAGAGCTTTTAGTGTCACATTGATGGAAATTTCCTTTTAGGAAGAAGCAGTTTTGGTTGACCAAGAGATGAGAGATAAACAACAAAATGCAGCTGGGATCAGATAGTAGATCAAGAGTTTTGACGAAAGACATTGGGAATTCATTTCATAGCTGCACACCAAGAGGCAGATATGCACCCCATCTTGTAGATTTCAGAGGTGCATAGCTCCCTGTTTGTGAAGACATTTGGGAAGCCCAGGACTGTTCACCAGCTACTAAGCAGCACTAGGCCTGGGGAAAGAATCAGCTGTAGTCATGAACCGAAGGTTGACTTTAAACTACCTGGTTAAACTAGGTAGGTAAAAGAAAATAAGTACAGGTGTCTTTAAAGGTTTAGTAGTTATTAAGATCAACATTCTTATTACGTATAGCAAAGACTCAGATATTTACTTCTGTTTATTAGAATTTTCTTTTTTATAAAGAATCTAAAGAGTATGTGTATCTGAATATATTATTTTTACTGTAAAGTATTTCTGGACCTGTTTATAAGAATTTTCAAAACTAAAATGCTAACAGCCTATTTAATGTTATTTTTAGTAAGTTTATATGTGTGTGTTCTTGAGGGAAATGATTTGACACTTTCTCTTTTTAAAAATGTTGTCTTTGTATTTAAACAGAAAATGATGCTACAGAGCTTTTTCCCTCCCACTAAGTTAGGGACAAAAAATTTTAATTCTGAGTCATTGAATGAATGGTACTAGTTATGTATGAGGTTCTAGGTTAAATTTTTATTGTGAAATATAATTAGTTGTTTTTGTTTTGTTCTGTTTTGTTTTGTCACAAGTATTTTATTGATTACCTGCACAGTTTACTTAGGAGGATGCCAAAACTTACAAAATATATAATCCATAAACATTATTTTAGCTTATCTACATTGATTTATTGCCAAACTTCTTACTTTATGTTTAAAGTTATTTCTTACCGAGTGAGTCTCAGGATTTTCTTTTAATATTAGAAATATAATTTTAGAAATAAAACTCAAGAAGTATTTCTATAAATGTTAATAATGAAGGTCAGTTGGTAGTCGGTGTTCATAAACACTTAGAGCACTGTTCTACAGGAACTGTAGACCTTTGCATTGTAATCATCAGAGATGATTTAAAAATAGAGAGCCTGTGGCCTTAGCCTCGTTCTCCGAATCATAAGCTCTGGAAATGTTACCTAGGAATTTACATTTCAAAGTAAAACCTTTGGTCTGTAAGTGCACTATAGTTTGGAATTCACTGCTACTACCATTTATGTCGTGTGTGGATTTGTGTCATCTAAGATAGTACACAGTTGTAGAGATGGGTGTGTGTGTGTGTGTGTGCGTGTGTGTGTGTGTGTGATGAGTTAAAGTCATTTTAAATATTTAATAGTCAGATCAGCAATTATCTCAATAATTTTCATAGAACTCTGTAGACAGTATTTTTTTAAGTTAGTGCCTTAATAGTTAATCTGTATAGTCTAAGGCAAATAGTTGCAGTGAGATTATTTCTTACCTGAAAAACAAATATTCCTTAATACTTTTTAAAAATACCTGGGCCTAGACCCCACAATATAACAATTAAATCAAAACATCAAAGGAATAGGCTGAGTCTTTATAAATGTATGTTAAACAGTTTCAAGTGGTTTTGATGTGCAGCTGAAACTGGGAAAGAGGCAACTACCCAAATGACCAAAAAGAACAATGATGTTGCTAATCCAAAACTACTAATATTTGGTTTGGGAATCCATAGTATTCAAAACACATACTAAAGGTATGACTCTATAGCATCCAAATCCTGTTTTCCCTACCTACTTTTCTGTGACTCATTTAAAAAATAATCAAAGAAAATTAAAATCAAGTTCTTTCAGCAAAGAATATTTTCTCTGGGTAATTTAAATTCTCTTTTAGAGGCAATTTCTCTTCAAAGATCTCTACTAAGCTTCACTTAGGTTGGTATAAAGTACTGATTGGGCAGTTTGATTGATAAGGGAAATAAAATTTTGACCTTTTCATGGGAACAGATATATTTAACTAGTTTATTTTTATGATTTTGGCATTTATAGGCAACTCAAATATAATCGAGAATTCTTTTTAATTATCTATTTTGAACAAGCAAAATATTTTCTAGAGTGTGGCTATATGCATATAGGATATCAGCATCAATATGTTTATAAAATTTTATTTTAAAAAATGTTCATAGGGCCAAGGCAACCCCATAAAATTAGTACTGTAGAAAGTGCTGAGGTTTATGACATGGATCAAAATATGTGTTCCACACAACTTTCTGATTCTTCTAATGTGAAAATCTCATCATTTTTATAGTTCAGTTACGTAAAACACATCCTTTGATACACACCTCCCTTTGCCCAGACTTATTAAACAAAGTCATAAAGAATTTCAAGACCTGCTTTTACATTTAAGTAAATGAAACCGTATTTTTAACCTTAAATTTATAATATTTTCTTATATTTCTCTTTTAGATGCTTTTTGAGAATACCAGTTTCTGCGTATGGGAAGTAGATATTGAAAGTTACATGGTTTACAGACAATATCTTTAAAAGACAGACACTCAAGGTAAGTAACAACTATAGCCTCATAAATAATCTCATTTAAATGGTTAAGGTTGCCAGATTGTAATTCGACTTGCTGAACTTGCTTACTTTTTATCACTGGCCCTGTCTAAGGGATCTCCCTACCACATTCATTCATATTCAGACACAAATTTTTATGCCATAATACCATCTTGACAGAAAGTATCGGATTTTATTTACCACAGGCTGTTGATAAAATTGATATATTATTGTGGAAGAGAGCAAATCAGTTAAGAAGAGTGGAGAAGTAGCTTCCATCAACTCTGTGAGCACAACTCAGTCTGTAGCATTTAACTTGCAAAAATAATTAAACAAAAACTACCATCCACCACACTTCCTTTTTAATGTATTCATTAATCTGTTCTTTAACCATGATAAGCACTTGTCCTTTAACAGCTCTAAGAACCCTGTCATAGTTTCAGATACTCACAGTGTTACCTCTGAATACGAAACTTCTCTTCATTATTTCTTGAATCCTCCAGAATTTGTTTTGACCTACCATATCCTTCCACTTAGCATGTTCTATTTATTCCTCTGGTGATTATGTGCTTACATTACTAACCAAATTTTTTAATACATTTTGGTAAAATTCTGAGATTATGACGGTTACAAATTATAAATAATGTTGCGTGTCAGGTGGGTGTAATGGAACCTGTAAATGTGACCTTTAAATGGGCCACTTCTATTCAGCTCTAGAATCCTTTTCTACGTGGAAATAAAAGACCAGTAAAAATCATTTCTTATGATTTATTTCAGAAGAAACCAGAGATACAGATTTTTGAAAAGTCCTAATTTTTCAATATCAGCATAAAATTTTGCCAGTGAAAAAATCTACTTTTGCTACTGTGTGAGCTAAATAAAACAGTTTGTAGAGCCTCTGGTAGGGGAATTTCTTTTGTTCTGTTTCTTTATTCTTTTGGAATGCAAAAACTAAGAATCTGTTCATTTTAATTTGTAGTTAGCAGCATAGTGATTTTGCTAGTTTTCTGTGATGACCATTATTGTCAGAAATGACTTCTCTTGAAAATATAAATTATATAAATACTACTTATTTTTAATTCATTTGTACAGTTATGTATGGTGAGTTGGTTACTTGGAACAGCTATTCAATTGTTTCCTGAATTATAATAATTAGACAGTTATTTTTATAGTTTCTTCATCTCCACAGTCTAAAACAGAATCTTGTGACTAAGGAAAAGAAAAAGGAATCATTTCTATTTATTGGACCTTTGTAGAGAGAACAGAGTAAATCACACTCCTCAGTACATGGCACATTGTCATCACTGATCCATGCAAAGCACTCATTTTATTTATTTATGTATTTTCATTTATTCTCATTTTCACTCCCATGCTCCTGACCTCAACCCATAGACAGCCATTCTCATGTAATGGTCTAAAATAATATCTACTTCACTGTTCTCTTTGGTTTGCATGTAATATTTTCTTAAGATGGGTATCGTATTATATACATGTATTTTAATTTTTAATGGAAATGTTCAAATAAATATAAAAGAAAAGGGAAAATAATATTTTGAACCTCCATGTGCCCATCTCTCACCCTCAGCAGTTATGTCATGGATGAGCTTGTCATTACTATGTCTGTACCCTGCCCCTCCTCCGTTTGTATACATCAGATTTTAATATGTATAGATAGTATTGTGTTCTGTATCTCATTCTGGTTCCTACAGTTTTATATTATCTAACCTTAGATTTTATTATTTATGTATGTAGTTGTGTTTACATTGCTTCTGACTGCTGCATAGTATTCCATGATTTGTAGCTACCATGTTTTAACTATCCATATTTACCAGTGACAGCCATGCTGGTTGCTTCCAATTTCTTATTACAACAAGCAATGTCTGTTGAACATCCTCACACTTGTCCTTTTGTGGAATTTTGTGAGGATTTCTTTAGGATGTATACCAAAGATCAGAATTGCTGGATAATAGGATATATGTTTATACTTAATATAACCACGTGCTGCTAGATGCTCTACCGGATAAATACTTCCATCCACACTTTCCCCAGCAGTAACCCTTCATTGCCACCTACCCCTGCATTGTCTAGCTTTCTCATAGCTTATACACATTTTCAGTCTAATGTGTATAATTTTATAGCTCAGTGTTTTAATATGAATTAGCCTCATCACTAATGAGTTTGAGCATCTCTTTATTTTGTTGTTCCCCTTTTGGCTTCCCACTTCTGAAATTGGTTGTTAACATTTTTTCATATTCATTCTTATCTCTCAGTTAATGTTTTTTAAGAGTTTGTTGTATATATCAGATATTCATTTGTCAATTTGAGATATTAAAACATTTCTGCTTCTCTTCTTTCAACATTTTGATTTTGTGCATGATGTTCCTGAAGTAGACATTAATATTTTAAATATTCAATTAAAAACATTTTCTTGATCTATATGGTTGATATACAAAAATGCCACTCTTTTAAAATTTGATCTTCATTCTGGCAATGTTTCTGAACTCTTATTACTAATAGGTTATTGTTTTTTCTAGATAGAGTATCTTATATTGATTACAAATAACAACAGTTTCATTTCTGTACTTTCTGTTTGTACATTTTTACTTCTTTCCAACATCTTCAGTCAGTTTCTTGGGAACTATGTTAAACAGTTGCAGTGACAGTAGGCATCTTCCTCTTATGCTCAACTTAAACAGGATGCATCTAATTTCTTAATTTAAGTATAATGTTTGCTAAAAGTTTTTAACATGTAATATTAACCAACTTAAGAAAGCTTCTTCTATTTCTAGCTTACTGTGCATTGTCATAAATAGCTATTGAACCCCATAAAATGATTTTTATGCATCTGTGAAAATAATCATATGGTATTTATCCTGTGGTATATTAATGTTATGAATTATATGGATAGAATTTTTACTGTTAAACCATCCCTGCTTTCCTAATTTACACACTACTTTATTGTGTTGTATCATTTTTAATACATTATTGTATTTGATTAACAAATATTTTATTTAGGATTTTAGTATATACATTCTTAAGTGAAATATGCTATAATTTTCTTCATTTTCCTCCTCTTGTTTCACATTTAAGATTACACTAGCCTTATAAAATGAGGCAGGCAGATTTTACTCTTTTTCTATTATCTGGAACAATTTTATGATATATGAATTTATTGTTTCTTAAATGTGTGTTAAAATTCATGTAAAACTGTCTGGTTCTGAGGATTTTTGAGAGATTTATTAGAAAGCTACTTACGCCTTTAATGCGCTTTGGCCTATTCATTAGGTTTTTTTTATCAGGTTCTTCCCAGTCCCCTTCCCTTGACACCTGATGTTCTCCCCATCTGCAAGTATTACCCAGTGTCCTTTGAGTCAGAAAATGCCCAGACAATCCTGATGTCCACTTTTCAACTTAGCCAAGCAATGGTCATCTCCTTTAGGACTGACCAGGGATTCAATATCCTAGCCCTGACCAGAGCGCTCTCATCTTCCCAATCTTGCTTCATTCAAACTCTCACTACCACATACCTAAATCAATCCTGTACTCCAACAGTTTTTGACTTTCCTATAACCAAAACCTTTGGTTAATAATGCCCTGAATTGACTTCTTTATATCTCTTAAAACTGTTATCATACTTCTGAAAAATATTTTGGCAATGAATAAATAAGGTATTATGTTCAGGGAAGATAAGTGTTGGGGAAAAATGAGGCAGTCATCTGTTCTAACATTCTTCACAATATAAACCAAATTATAATTAACTCTGGAAGGCTGTTACTTTCCCTCCAGAGTTTGAAACATTATAATAAGCATGTATTATCAAAAAAAAATTAAAGGTATCACCACCTAACAAAAACTGGAAGTTCTTAGACCTACTAACAAAAATATATTGTCAATGAAAATATAATAGTTAATGTAATTTTAATACATTTGAATGTGCTTTCACCCTTTAAATTCACTTTTTCTCACACACTTTGACAGTGTATCTTTATGTCTTTTTGAAAAATGTGATATTTATATCCTCTCTAAAATGATTCTTGTACTCCCTGACATCCCTTTTCTCCCTCACCTTCTCTCTGTCCATCATGTTGCTATTATCTACTTTAAATTCTAAGCTATGGTAGTCAATTTTTTTCCTTTGCTGGTAGCTTTCTTTTCTTTCTTTTTTTTTTTCTTTTTTGGGCAGTGGGTTGTGTGTAATCCTTTTATTAGCTCTTCATAGGTTATTACTACATTTCATTTTTTAAATTCTTGTTTATTCTATTACAGTTTTCCCAATTTCCCCCCTTTGTCATCCTCTATCCAGCCCACCCCCCTCCCACAGTCCATCCCCACACTGTTGTCCATTTCCATGAGTCATTCATACATGTTCTTTGATTCCTTCCCCTTCTTCCCACCATTCTCCTCGCCCTTCTACACCCCCCTTACCTCTGGCAGCTGTCAGTGAGTTCCCTGTTTCCGAGTCTCTGGCTCCGTTTTCCTCATTAGTTTATTTTCTTCAATAGATTCCCCATGTAAGTGAGATTGTATGCTATTTGTCTTTTACCAACTGACTTATTTCACTTAGCATAATTATAGTCTCTAGTTTCATTCATGCTGTTTCAAAGGGTAGGAATTCCTTCTGGTTTCATTGTCCAGCATAGTATTCCATTGTAAATGTACCATAGTCTTTTAATCTTTTCATCTACTGATAGGTGCTTAGTCAATTTCTAACACTCAGCTGTTGTAAATAGAGCTGCTATGAACATTGGGGTGCATAGGTTCTTTTGAATTGATATTTCAGGATTCTTAGGGTATATTCCCAGAAGTGGAATTGGTGGGTCATAAGGCAGTTCCATTTTTAATTTTTTGAGGAAACTCCATACTGTTTTCCACAGTGGCTGCACTAGTCTGCATTTCCACCAACATTGCACTAGGGTACCTTTTCACGAGGATTCCCCACATCCTCGTCAGCACTTGTTATTTGTTGATTTATCAATGATAGCCATTCTGACAAGTGTGAGGTGA